ACAAATGCCTTCATCAGACTAAATATCAGTGGTCATCAAGACCATGCCCAAATGTTATATTCATTATGAAGACTTTCTGACTTGTTTAGATTTATTAGATGATCTGACTGGTTTGCATTCAAAGAGAAAAGGAAAGAAATGAGTAAATTTTAGATGAGCCAAGTGTAGATATTCTCCACTATGGGCCTGGGAGGTGGCTCATTTGGTGAAGTGCTTGCCAGACCCGAGTTCAGTCCTACAGAATTCATGTAAAAAAGCCAGGTGCAGCAGGTAGTGTCTGTGATCTTAGCACTGGGGAAGCAGAGACAAGAGGATCCCTGGGGGTCATGAGCCAGCTAGTCCAGAGGAATTAGTGCAGTCCAGATTCAAGAGAAACTCTTTCTCAAAAAATAGACACTGAGAAAGAAAAACACCCAACATTAACCTCTCCTATCCAGAGAGACAGAGATGGGGGTGGGGGGTAACAATTTGCTCTGCAAGCTCCCATGTACCACGGCTTTAAGAGAACAGATATCACACTTCTTGTGCTTTCTATCCAGCAAGTAACTGTTGGCATTTAGGAAATATGGTTTGAATAAATGAACAGATGAACAGTTGAGCCTGTGGTGCATCACTACAGCACAGGTAATTTGTTTTCAACGTATTTTTTCCAAAGAATACTTCCATAAGTTTCACTAGAGTTCATTTCTCTGTTGGACATGCAAAGTTTTGTGTCACTAACCTACCAAATTATATGTGACTTGAAATTGGTGAGGCTGACTGATTTAGTAACCATGAAACACTGTTCATCCACTTATAAAATTATCTGTTCGGTAAATGAGCACATGAAACCTGCATAAACTAAACAGAATCTAGTTTCTTCATTTGTTTGAGTAGTAAGAGCTGAACCTTGAAATGAGTGTTGTCTCTTCAATGAGATTGTAACCTGTTTTATTTTTCACAAAGGAAAGTAATACCCTTGTATTTGTAACACAACAGTTTGACATCTGCTGTTGGGATGGCGGTCTGGGAGTGGTGTCAAAGTGATGTCAGCCAACACACAGTTTTTCTTCCAAAAGGATTCTTTTATTATTAAGTAGAATGCTCTTTTGATATCTGCAGTCAACATTGAGTCTGCTTACAAAACAGTATATAGACACTGAGTAGGGAAACTAATTCTATGCAGCTAACGTATTCTTCTGTATATGTGGAAGTCAAATAATGAACCACATGATCATGTGGACAACTCAAAGCTATGTATACAGCATGATTAAGTAAAGATTATGCTTTGTGGTGGCTGGAGAGATGGATTAGCAGTTAAGAGAACATAATGCTTTTGAGGAGGACCAATACCAATGTTGAGCAGCCTACATCCACCTGTACCTGCTACCCCAGGTGATCTGATGACCCCTTCTGGCCTCTGCAGACACTGCACTCACACGCACACACACACACACACAAACACAATATAAAAATAAAAATTAGTCCTGGACTTAAAAAGGCTGAAAACAAAAACATGAAAAAGAATCAGAATTTAATTTTTTAAAGACTATATTTTGCAAAGAAAACAGCACATGTTAGTATTTCATTTGAAGAATCAAGACTCTAGTAAAAGTTCAAAAAACTGAAATAAATGCCAACTTGTTTGTTAAGGAGATTAATGACGATTAGAACTAATCTTGTCATTGGAATGAGGAGACCATTTAACACTCACACCCAGTTGTGCAAAGTTAGGTAAGCCCACTTATTTCTCAAGGTCTTAGGGTTTGTCTTTATTTTAAATTTCTGAAACGGAGCAGACATCTTACTATTTGAAGTAGATAAACTCAGCAGCCAGTTTCTACTCTAAAACTTTTAGTGCCACCTTGAAAGGTGACACTCTTTTATGTGTCTCTGTTTGGGCTGTGTCTCCTGTGCTACTTCTGCTGTGTGAGTTCTGCTGTTTGATCTTCTGCACTTGTATATTTTCCTAAAATTATGATACAATCCCTTGAAGTATCATAGGAACAAGGCTCTCCAGAATTTATACACAATAAGCAATTTTAGTGCCGTCTGGTGCTATGCTAGCTCCATGTATTGAATAGGACTAAAAACAAGGTATTATTTAGAGTCATGAGGATTATTAATTGCATACCATAGACAGATGGGAGGAAAAGTCAAAAATTTTAAGAGAATGGATTAGGCATCTAAACTGTAGCTAATTTTCTTTGAAGCCAATTTATGCAATGAAATATAATTGTAAGTATTTCACCCAGGGAGAGAGCTAATGAAGTCAAGGTCACTGGTTCAATTCCCGTGTGAGCCATTAGCTTTCCTTCCGTTGTCACAGACCTGCACCCTCTTAACCCTGGCTCCCCATCCTTCATATTCATCCTGGGGGTCACAGAGGAAATTTGGCCAGACTGTCTGGATGCAGAAGCAAAAAATTCTATCTCCTCCCCTTGGCTAGAAAGGTTACTCAAAGGTCAAGCCCCAATCCTGGGACACCATCCCAGTGTGGACAGAGGATTATCACTGTGTTGATTATTGTTGTTATTATCACCGTCCCATCATGCTGACAGTACTGTGGCCCAGTTCAGAAATAGGCTCTGCCACTAGACCATCTGCATTTGAACCTGTGCTCTCCTGTCGATTAGTTCAATGATTTGGACAAGTTATTGAACCCTTCAAAGCTTATTTTCTCATTTATAAAATAGGTATTCTAATAGCACTCTATTGTGTTACTGTGAGGAATGGATGTACTGATACATGTAGAGGAATCTCTGAGCCACTGGAAATGACTGGGATTGTTACCTTTCCATGTCTTGGTCCCGTGGACTGCTTAGTACATGCTGAAAAGCATGTGCATTAGTATCTTCTTAGTATTGCTCCCAGAAAGTTCTACAAACTGGACAGCTGAAAACAGGTACTTTTCCACTGACGGCCCTCAAGGTTAAAGTCCCCAAACAAATGGTCTTCACAGCCAGGCTTCCTCCCGGCTCCAGAGAGGAATCCTGCCTGCCTTCTCCTAATTTCTGGTGGTTCCAGGCATGCCTGGCTTGTGGGGGCCCCTTCCTTTGTCCTGACGTGGCCATCATCTCCTTGCCTGTGCCAGTCTCCATTACAGATTGCCTTACAAAAACACCCACTATTGGATTTAGAGCTCTCCCTATGCCGGGTGGCATTATCTTAACTCCTTACACTTGCAAAGATCCTGCCCCAAATAATGACACACTCATCACTGCCAGGGAAGGAGACTTGAAAATCTCTCTGTGGGTGTGGGAGGGGGGAATTCAAATTGAACAGTCCATAGACAGAAGAAAGGAGGGGAAGAAGGAGGGAGGGAGAAAGGAGGAGAACAAATGAAGAGAGGGAGGGAGGAAAGAGGAATGGGGAGGCAAGCAATAAATGCCTGAAAGGAGATGGTATTCTAGAGCTGAGGGAGGCAGAAGGTATAGCACTAGCAGTTATAAGAAAACATAGTGACCTCAGTGAGCTTCACGTGTGGCTCCAACAGCAAAGCAACATCCTGTGTGGCCGAGGTAGAATCCTGAGGAGATCCCTTGGAGTTCTGCATTGGTTACTTTTCTGTTGCTGTGATAAAACGCTGTGACCAAGGGAACTTATAAAAGGAAGAGTTTATTGGAGCTTACAATTTCAGAGGAATCAGAGTCCATCATGGTGGGGAGGCGTGGCGGCAGGAGGTGGCCGGAGCCGGAGCAGAAAACAGAGGTTCACATCTTCAAACAGGCACAGGAAGCAGAGAGTGACTGGAGATCGGATCCAGGCAAGGCTTAAGAACTCTGAAAACTCACCTCCAGGAACCTGCTCCCTGTAGCAAGACCACACTTCCTAAGACCTCCCCAAACAGCACCACCAACTGGGGACAAGATGACCAAATACATGGGGCTTATGGGAGCATTCTCATTCAAACTACCCCAGGTCCTAAGTGGGAAACAGGATGAAGGCACGAGACGTCCACGTGGAGGTCCCAAATGCTCTGGGAATCTGGAAATAATGTTAGTCAACTGTTTATGAAGTTCCCACAAAAGGCCTCTCCCCTCAGCACCATGACTGGCAGAGGTTGTGACATACTGCGACAAATACTGTGGGCCTGGCTTTAAACTCATGGGAGTCTACATACCTTGGGAAAGAACATGTAAGGCAATCATCGGAAGTCAGCATCTCCCCAGGATGGGCAACCCATAACTCAGTGTGTTTAAGGATGTCTAAGCTTGCTGTAGAGACAGAGCCTGATTTTGTCAATAGCTTTTTCCTACTCAGGCAGTTTTAAACCAAAGCAGATAAAGTGTGTGGGCTCCTGTCTGAAAGAGCCAAGGAGATGAAGGATTTAATTAGGGTTCAGTATGCCCTGGGAAGTTCTTATCACACTGCCATGTCCGGGTTTCTCTTTTGGCAAAATAAGGCCCTGTTTCCTCTGTATGGACTCAAGTAAACATGTGCACCCTGGAGCCCAGCACCACCGGCTGTCACAAAACTCTCAGTGGGAGAATCTTGTGCACTTTGGTCACAGTTACGATTTCATTTTAGCATTTATCTGCCAGGCGATGAGATTATGCGGATGGAGCAGAGGTACGGGGAGAAGGTGATGAGGGAGCCTGATATTTGAAAATGGATGAGCTTCTCGAAAGAAGAGCATAAAGCTCAGGGATGGGATTGGGACGGGAAGCTGGCAGGCTGCCAGGCTTGTAATTACATCTTGAATTGAGCTGTAATCCTCACCACTTCTGAAAACAATAAGAATAGGAAAACAGTAAACCACATTATTGTACACCATGACATTTGCTTAGCAGTCCCAATAAAATATTTTCCTGATACTCTGGTTAAGGCTGCAGAGTCACAGAGATAATGATATGTTTTGTGTAAGGAGGAGAAAAGAAAAAAAAATGTGTTTTCTAGAAGGAAAAAGAACATTTTGTGGAAAGGAGTCCTGAATTTCATGAGGACAAACAGGAATTATGCATTTTGTCTTCCATAAAGCAAAAATGTATGTGCTTTCTTTGTTTAAACAAAACTTTCAGGTTTGCAACCTACGGATATAAGCGCTTTGTATACAGCAGTGTGGGTTTTACATCAAGCCAGGAGGTGACTGTGAGGACTTCAGCGGGCTTTCCCCGGAGAGGACCCAGGATCACTGCAGGCATCCTTAACCACACAGCCATCGACGTGAGGTGGGCGAAACCAGGTAAGAGTTCTTGTTCCTGTTTCCTCTCTGAGCATCAGTACAAAAAGGAGTTCACATGGGCACATTAAAAATAAACAAGTCAAGGTGTCCGAGCTATTTGCATGTGTGTTTACATGTGTATATGTTCATGTAAGCAGTTGTACATGGATGTTTATGTTCGTTTAGGTATGTTCATGTGTGTGCATGTGCATGTATATGAGGGTCCTAGAGGACAACCTCAGGTGGTGTTCCCCAGGATTCTCTCTACTTATTTCTCTCACTGACCTTGAACTCACGCTTTACCTTGGCTAGCTGGCCAGCAAGCCCCAGGGATAATCCTGTCTCTTCGTCCCAAGCCCTGGGATTTCAAGCAGGCAGCACCATACCCAATGTTTTGGGTTCTGGGGATCGAACTCAGATCCTCATGCTTGCAAGGCAAGCACCCTCCTGCCTAGGCCATCTGCCCGGCCCCTGTGCTATTCTTTGATGCTCACTGTTCTTGGACTTGCCTTGTCCTTCCAAATTCACTCAGATGGGGAACAGAGTTTCTGTCATGAGAAAAACTGGACAGCGACGGTTGGATAGAAATGTCCACTTAATGAAGGCACTGTGTGGCATTATGGACCCATCTACACAGCTCAGCCCCTACAATACTTAACTCATTAACAAGAACTACAGCAATATGACAAGTTTTCCCAGAATGCCATCCTTAGTGGTGATGTTGGTTAGTGACAGAATTCCATCCTGATAAAGGAGTGAAAACCTGGACACCACCACTGGATATAGGGTCTTATCTTGGCCATAATGGCAAACATCTTCTCACAGATGAAGCCCATTGGCTCCTTACAACTTTGGGAACCAGAATAACTAAATTTCAGAGCTGCCTAGTGGGATGGAATGCAGTATCTCATCTATTCATTTGTCGAGATCTATGACGATAACCAGACAGAATCCTGAATGGATCCTGGAAATATGCATAATAATTATTTTTGCAGATATGAATTGAAACCTGGCAATTGGTTGAATCAAAGTCATCAGTATTTTATCAAATGCTGAGAAACACCTCATTTGTGGAGTCTCAATAAGCCTTTTGTTTTATGGAAATAACCTCAGCTCACTACCTCCCCGTGATGGGAGAGACTGAGAAGCAAGCTCAGAGCACATGGGCTTCAGAGGGCATTGTGACTCTGAAGAACAGGATCACTCCTGTTCATCTACACTATCACCAAATAGTCCATTAAAAAAAAATACTAACTCTAGAGCTTTTTAAAGTGTTGAGTTTCTAATGATCTGTGGTGGTTATCTTGAGATAATTTGACCTATTTTAATGGGAGAATAGAAGTTAATTGATCTTATGATTAACCCTCAATAACACCTCCAGGAAAAACAGAATTTTATCTGATGGTATGTTTTTATATGTAATATGTTTTCGCTTATCTCTCTTGTTCTGTGTTCTGTGTCACCTACTGATATATTTTTAAAGCCTGCCTGTAAAGGCAGTGCCACCCCTCCCCCAGCCTTGTGGCATTTGAATACTAAAGTGAAGATCTGCTGCTTACTGTTCCTGCTAATGTAGGTACTCTGTGTTGTCTTGCCTGAAGTCAGCTTGCTTATAAAAGCTGACAAACATAATAGATCTCAAGCAGCCCACTGAAGTTTCATTACCTTAATAATCGGAACCTCTGACCTTCGGGATGTAGGTAATGCAATCTGCTGTTATTTCCATTCATACCCTAGAAATTTTTCAGATAACTCTGTGAGCACAAAGGTTAATGCTGAGAGAAGGGTGGGCTGCCTGAAAGCTTATTGCGGGATCCTGTTCCTCCTCTGTTCAGCTATCTTTAGTAAATTAACTAGTCGCTCCTCCACAAAAGGGCCACCTACTTTTTTCAACTTTGATTTTAATTTTTTCTTGATAGAGAGAAGAAAAATTGGAACATACTCTGCTAAACTAAGCAGAACACAACTGTATATTTAATATGTCTTATAGTTGAAAAATCATAGGAATAAACTTATACTTCTTTGCTTTTTGAGACTGGGGAAATGGGTCAGTGACTCAGGACAGTTTGGATCCCCAGCACCCACTTAAAAAGCCAAGTGTGGCCAGGAAGGCCTATAACCCCAGCACTGGGGAGGATTGGGGGGGACAGGGTAACAGGCTTTCTGGCCATCAGCTGAGCTAAAAAAATGTTAAGCTCTAGGTCCGGTGGGAGACCTTAGATCAAGGAAATTAAGAGTGATAGATACAGCAGCACACAGATGTCCTCTGGCTTCTATTTATGTTCACAGAGGTATGCATGCCTGCATACACATGTAGATACACACACACACACACACACATTCAAATAACCTTTTCACAAGAAAAGGAAGAAAAATGTTTAAACTGTTCGTTCAGTCCTCCAGAAAGCCTGAAGAGCTAAAACCTGACATTCTCTAAAATTGCACAGTCTGTAAGGATTTCCCACACAAACCTGAAGCTCGGCATGCATTTTATCAGGAATGCATTGTTAAGATCCTTTCCTCAAACTAAAGGCAAATATTAGAACACATGCACAGAAGGGAGCTGGTGGAGAGACAGGGTCTCCTCCCTGAGGCAGACTCTGACACGGTCCATGATGGCCAGGGAAGAGCCTGGAGGGAGTCAAAGGGGGAAGTTCTAACAGAAAGTGCAGTGCTGTGGGTGGTGGCGGTCCCGTGGCCCACAGCTCCCCCACCTTCCCAGCTTCATACCTTGCTCAGATCCTCCTTTTCTCGCTCTCTCTTCCACCTTTTCCTTTTCTCTATTTCTGTCCTGATTTCCTCCCACTCTTTTCTCTCCCTTTCTTTCCATGGACATTTATTCAATATTTCTTTATCTAAAGCACTAGAAATAAGATTCACGACTTGACCGCTGCATATATAATCTCTCAGTGAACTCTCCAGAACATGTCACCATGAAGAGCTTACTACCATTGAAAAACAAGTGCTTTTACGGTCCACTTCATCAGAAACCACTGGATTCTGTAATCAGAAGTGTTTATGCTCAGTCTCAGTTCACACTCCGGCAGCAACACATACGAACAATTCCAAATGCCATTGTTTCTCAAATGATTCAGTTGGAATTGGTCCACCTTGTCCTGGTCCACCTCGCCCCCCTCTGTTCTTTCCCAACACTTGATTATCAAAGCAACAGACGACCGGCCTTTGAACGTCCCCCTCCTCGTCGCTGCCATCATCCCCCCTTCTTTCATTAGCCTGGTCCATTAGTCATCCTGCAACAACCCATCTGATGCCTTCTTTTCACCGAGGTCCTGGATGTCTGTGTGGCAGCCAGTACTGTACATGGGCCTTCACTGACGGAGGACTCCCTCTAAGGGTCCCATTACCAGCTGTTTTTTCCTCATCTCCTAAATGTTTTCTCGAGGTTCTTCCTCTGTCTTCGTCTCATAGTCCTGTTTGCCTGTCAGTGATTCCATCTATTCTTAAAGTCTGAAAAGCTAATAAAACCAAATAAAAGACTACAAGGCAAATAGGTTTCAGGATCAGGGAGATTTAAATTTCCAGTCCAGTCCCAAAATTTTCTGGCATTATCATTTGGAACAAATCATTTATACTCACAGGCCAAGTTTCCTAATCTGAAATAGGAGATTAAAAATAATTTCCCAGGGATGGAGAGATGGCTCAGCAGTTAAGAACACTGGTTGTTCTTGCAGAAGACCCAGGTTCGAATCCCAGCACCCACATGGCAGCTAACAACTGTCCATAACTCTAGTCCCAGGGGATCCAACAGCCTCTTCTGACCTCCGCGGGCATTGCACAATATGGGTGCACTTACCTACATGCAGGCAATACCCACATACACATAAAATAAAAATGAATAAATTTTTTTTAAAAATTCTTTTAATGTGGAGGGATCTCACAGTCCTATAATCTCAGTATTCTGGAGGCTGAGAGGCTGAGGCAGTATTCCTAGCTCAGGACCAGCTTGGGATCCATAGTGAGTTCTAGGCCAGCCAGAGTTACACAGACTCTCAAGCCCTAAAATATGATAAAAATTAAATGTTATGTGTTTAATGCTTATAAATCATTCAATGTCACTTTAAGGTATTATTCTGTCTCTAACATGTGTAGGGTGATTTGAATGTCAGTTTACAAAAGATGAGTCAAATTGGGAAGCTATGTCTAGTAAAATCTAGGACACAGTTTTATAAGGAATTCAGATAAGACTACTTCTCTAATGTCGAAGATACATACAGTATGTGAAGTATATTGTTACCTGAGCTGGCTGGCCTGTAGACCTCAGTAAAGCCAGCCAGTGTGGTGGAAAGTGCCACACGTGCACCATCCCCATTCTTGACCCTGTCCAGTTGGGCCTGGCTTTCTCTCCCGTGGAGACTGCATTGACACACCTGCCCTAGAAGTAACCACCTGAGTGCAAATACTGCATGCTCATGCCAGTGCACTGTAAAAAAGAAACGCGTGTCTTTTGATGGAGTGTAAATTTACCTGTTCTGTCTTTCCCCTTCTCCTGGCTAGAATGTGAACATGAGGCTGTGTTCTCAGAGCCCACTCTGCAGGCCTAGATAATACCCTTAGAGCTCCAGAGCCACATAAGAGGAAGAACCTGGGTTCTTTATTTATTGAGGCGTGTGCCTTTGTGGGTACACCATAGATATGTGTACTTGGTGGGCAGTACATGTGAGTATGCAGGTGTGGGCATGCAAGTGTCACATGTCTAAGTAGAAGTCAGAGACCAACCTTGGTGGGGGGGGGGGTTCTCAGACTCCTTCAGCCTTTAGTTTAAGACAAGGTTTCTCATTGGCCAGGAACAAGCCAGCAAGCTCCAGGGATTGGCCGGTCTGAGCTTCCCATCTGGTCACCACTGGAATTGCAAGCACAGGTCACTCTGCCAAGCTTTTTGTGTGGATTCTGGCACTCTAATTTCAGGTCTTGGCTGATCACGGCATAATTTATTCTGCTCCCGTTGATGTTATATTATAAAATATAAATGAATATTGATTTTATTTATGTCTCTGTATTGGGGAATTTGGGGTTACAGTAGCTTAGCTAACACAGTAGCTTAGCTAACACAGTTCCTGCGTGTTCATAACAATACACGTATGGAGCAGAAATTAGCTCTCTATTCACAGACACACGATTAGTATTTGTGTCTACTCTTTTTCCTTAAAATATAATTTTATCTGGCAGTCTGTTGAAACACAAGCATGGCTACAATAACAGAGCTGTTTCCAGTGAGCTCTAAGTCTACAACTTAGAGAAGACATGAGCTAGCTTGTTGGAGAAACTGGAGACACTGACTCGGACACCCAAGCAGAAAAGCATGCCACATCTTCATACGAACGGTGTCACCCTTGGGCAGAATAAATAAGTTCCTCTCTAAACAGTTTTGATAAGCTCAAGTTTTTCTAGAGCTGTTGGCTTGATGGCACATCATTACTTTACACTATGGAGAGTGGAAAGTTGGACTGTGATTTGAGGAAAACCAATCTCTTAGCAAGATCAACATTTTGATTATAAAATAAGTTGCATGGAGATTTTCTAGGAGTTCCCGTTTGATCAAAATCACTTTTCAGTGAGCCTGTCAGGGAGAGATGACTGAAGAATTTAGCCCTAGATAAATAAATTAGGAGATCTATCAGCTGGAATGGTGTATTGTAATTGATCTAAATTAGAGCAAGACACTTCTTGTTTACGACACCAGAGACCAGGGATAGACTGCTCACATCACCCAGTTTCTGTCAAAACTACTCCCTGCTTTCCCGTTAGATCAAGATGCCAGCACTAGACACGCATTGAGTAAGCATAGTGACATTCCAGTCGAAGTTACTGTGGCCATCAAGGTTTGATTTTCCTGATTTCTATATGTGCCAAAATACTACTATTCTTTTTAACAATTTTATTCTATAACTCTTTTTCAATTTTTTTAAAGGCATTCTGAGATCACAGGTTACCAAAAAAAAAAAAAAATTGATGAGCTAGGTTTGACTAATGGACCACAGTTCACTGACACCTGATCTAGGTGCAAATGATTAACAGGACATAATTGTTATCACAATTATCCGTAAATAATAATCAAGAATAGGGAGGGAACACACTAATTGCTGTTGCAGGAAGGCTCTCGGTCAGCTCCCCTGAGGTGGACTACATCTCTCTCTAGTTCACATCTTGTCTCTACCTCAATGAAACTGCGCTTGGAGATGGGACTTTCAAGGAAGTTAGTAAGGTTAAGTTAAATGTAAGGATTAGGCCCTGTTTGACAGAACCAGTGTTTTTGTCTGGAACAGTGAAGGCCCTCTTTTCTTCTCCCACACTCGGTGAGGTGTTCATGTGAGGCTTCAGCAAGAAGGTCACTGTCTTATCAGTAAGAAAAATAACCTCACCAGAAACTAAATATTTCATCACCCTGATGCATTGGCTGTGGAATGCTCCCAGCAGCCTCCTGTGTTTGAACACTTGAACTCATGCAGCCTCTGCCACAAGTTCCCGCTCACTGACTGTGATGCCTTCTCTTCCACCATGATAGACAATATCCCATGAAACCATGACACCTTACAGAAAAATAACTGACACACCCTCCTCTGTAGATAATCTGCACGTCCTCCTCTGTAGATAATCTGTACATCCTCCTTTGTAGATAATCTGCAATTTTCAGTTCACTTTTAGTCAGAATTTCATGAAATACTATGATATTTCTAGATTTGGAAATATTGTCAGTGTTTGGGGCAAAACTATTTTATTCCATCGTATAGGCATCATCTCATCACTGAGGGAAGGCTTAGTGGGACATTTCCTGCTTGTTTAGTACATTTACCTTTCTTAATTTTTTTTAAAAAAATTGTGTATGAGTGTATTGCTTGCATGTGTGTAAGTGCACCCATGTTGTACAATGCCTGCAGAGGACAGAAGACGGCATTGGATCCCCTGGAACTGGAGTTACAGATGGTTGTTCGCCGCTATGTGGTTGCTGGCAATCAAACCCAGGTCCTCTGTAAGAGCAGCCAGTGCCCTTAACCACTGAGCCATCTCTCCAACCCCAGCATTTATCTTTCAAGTTAGATTTTTTTTCTTCCATCTGTGTCAATATTTTACCTCTGATTTTCACTTATAATTTTATACACATTTCCCTCTTTGCTATGGTTTGAATGTGAAATGTTGCCCATGGACTCATTGTTCTCTAACTTACTCTACAACTGGTAGAGCTATATTGGGAGGTAGTAGAAACTTTAGGAGGTGGAGTCCCGCTGGAGGAAGTCGTTCACTGGGGGCTGATGTTGAAGGCTCTGGCTCTTCTGCTCTCTTCCTCTGTCTGCTTCTTGGGTTCCATGAGGGACCAGCCTCATCCTCCCCACACTCTGACCCACAAGATTCAGACTCACTTCAGGCCCAAAGGAATGAGGCCACCTGGAAAACTCTAAATCCAAGTCAAAGTAAATAATCCTTTTCTTTAGATTTCTCCCTCTGGCATTTTGTCACAGCTATGGAAAGCTGTTTACACTCTCTTCTTTCTTTGGTATTACGCATTTATAATCTGAGTTTTCTTCTTTAAGCATAGGTTTTAATGCTGCCTTTGGCCTTTTGTGTTGCCTTGTGTTCACATCCCCTTCAAGGTAGATCTCTTTCTAGTTCCATTTTCAAGTCTTTAATGATACCAAGCACCTACCTGTTGTGCACAGTAGCATCTTTTCACCTTTTATGTTATTTTTGTAGAACTCCGTTCAGATGTTTTATAGACCATCCATCCCCTTCTCATAGAA